ACATTGATATTCTAAACGTAAGCAAGCTCAGGCTTCGTCTCGGACGTGTTGCTCTCCGTGTTGGATGCGGGACTCGGATCGACGGTGTTGGGTCCGTCAGCCGCCGCAGACTGTCGCCAATCCGCATTCTGATGTGACGGCTCAGCATTAACTTGCGGCGCAGTTGTCCCACCAGATTTTGTGTCATCCCTCCCTTCACGGGGTGGCGGCAACTGACGGATGCCCGTCCGGTCAGCATCGCCGCTCCGTGCAGGCGGATGGATGGTTCCATCGGGGGAAAAATTGACGCCGCCACAATTCATAAGGGCCGGCGTATTTATGTATCGTCACATTCATCGTGGAGGCAACGGTGGCCCCTTCCTATTTCCTTGCACAGCTGGCAGCACAGTTGCTACACGTGTGCACCCCATTGGCCACATGGCACACAGCACCCAGCTCACCATCTCTGCCATGCATGCGCACATCAAAGCCACTGAAAGTATAATTCTCACACTGAGCCTCGGCACTGGCAGCGGAACAATTCTTCCACGTCCACTCACACACGCACGCGATAGCTCAGGCTGCCGTCACTCGGAGCACACGACACATCCACCGGCACAACCACCGCGTCCGCATCACCAGATACATGTCCAGGACTCCCAGCAGCCGTCACGCACACGGAGCGAGCACCGTCACCATCGTCACCATCGCAGTCACCGTCACCCGTAGTGGAGTCGCTGGAGCCAGTCAGCTGATCCGTGAGGCAGAAGGAAAAGAATGCAACAGGAGGGAGAGGGACGGGGCACAGCGGGTACAGCGAGAGAGCGCAGACAACATGAGGAGAGGGCAGCAGGCCCAGCCGCACAGTTCACACACCACAAGACGGCATCCACGCAAGGAGGGCACACAACGCCAGCAGCCACCCACCATGCAGGAGGAGAAGACATCCACCACCATCTCCCCCAGCTCATCGCCACAGCCCCAGGGAAACGGCCAAAACCCGCGGCCACCACACCAGCCACAACCGCCGGTGGACCCTCATCCATCCATGACGCGGCAACAAAATTCCAGCCATCCCGCCCTCAATGGGACACGCAGCCCAACTCAACGCAGTCACACGCGGTGCTCCACACCCGCAGGAAAGGAGACGCGGGCTGCGCACTCCCCTTCCCTCCTTCCTTCTCCTCATGCCCACGTAGGAAGACAACAGCCGCCACACGCAACTGCCAGCATGCACTGCAAAAGGAGCATTCAAATCCACTGCAATGTGCATCTTGTGTGTGTGTGTGTGCCTGCAGAAACACGAAGCAAAGAAGTAGAAAAGAGGGAGCAGAGTACGTGGAGGGACGCAAAAAAATGTACAGCGGAGGTGCGTGGCGGAAACAACAAGAAGAAGACCGCTCAAACTCATGACTGCACCGCAGCCCAAGCAGTGGCGATTCACACAAGATTTATTTAAAACAAAAAGAAAACCATCCCCTTCGTCTTATGTAAACCCCATCACACAAAATAGTTATAAATGGAAAAGAAATCGTCCATTACTGTTCCACACAAATTTGAAAAAGCAGCCGGCTGCCGTGTGGCCACAACAAACTGTCTGCATGTATTTTGCCCGCAAAAGAAAATTAAAAGATATTTAAATATCGTTCAACCGTCCGACCCTCCGTGTGTCCGCACATCGTTTATATTTCACGGGGTCATCTGCGTGTTGCTGCTCCCCTCAGCCCTCCCATCGGCGCGTGAGTGCGGCCCGCAGAGCACAGTCACTCGTGTGTGTGTGGACTGAGAGAAGCACGCAGACATGACGGCAGTCGCGTCACTCCATCGGGAGAGTGAGCGCAGCAAAAGAAAAAAACATCGGGGGAAAAGAAATGCTCACAAGACCGACCTCAAAAGAAATGCCGGCGCGTAAAATGCACACGCAAAGCAGAAAAAAATCCCTTTTTTAAAGAGCGGCAGGGTGTGGCTGTGTGTGCGGCGCTGCGGGTGTCTGCCCGCCCTGGCCGCAAGAAAACAAAACAAGGGGGAAGAAATGTGTGCTCCGCCCCACAGGCCCTCGTCGCACGCCCACACGTCACGGCTCCCTCAGCGCGCCGTTCGTCGCGGCCCCTCCTCATGCGTGCAGCAGGCGAGGCGCACAGGGCCGTCGTCATGAGCGTGTCGGTGGGTGTGCGAGTGGAGCAGTTGGGCGGGAAACACACGGCACCCCTCACAGGAAGAGTGCAGCAAGAAACAATTAAAGAGGGAAGAGTAGAAAAAAAAACCGTCCACAGTGATTGCCCCCAAAAGCAAAAAAAAAGGGATGGCGGGATGGGAGATAATAAAAAAACGCAAAACTAAAAAAAAAAAAAAGTAAAATCAGCCAAAAAGAAGCAAACAGGAAAATAAATTTAAAATACGCAAAAAAAAAGATTTATGAGTGAAATTTGTTCCCATGGGGAAGTAATTCGGTGCTGAGGTGTTCCACGCCGAGGCCACACACTCCTCAAGAAGCGGCAATCCCCCACAGTCCCAGCAGAAGGAACAGCGGCAGCAGTCCGCCTCCACAAACAGCGCTGCCATCACCATTTGCCCCAAAGTGGCGAGCGGTACCGACACCCGTTGCTCCTGCCGCCACTGTTCTCAGATCCGTCAGCTTTGGAATAGAAATTTTGTTTGCGTTGAGGACGCGGATCTCATTGTCATCCAACGGGCGGTTGTACAGCAGGACATTCGTCGCGGTCACAGGCACGCCTCTTTCCTCCCTGCGCTGCCTCCATC